TGGAAAACGATTTTTCTATTAAGAAAAAAATGATCTCAGTTTGGAAAATGAGCTTTTAGTTCCTGTTTTAATAAAATATGGATTCGTAAACTGTATATAATATAAATTGTATATAATACATAGAAGTGAAGTGAAAGTCTAAAACATTGTATTCAAATCTCTACGTTAAACAAAAGTTTCTCTTACAATTTATATTATATACAGTTTACGAATCCATATTTTATTAAAACAGGAACTAAAAGCTCATTTTCCAAACTGAGATCATTTTTTTCTTAATAGAAAAATCGTTTTCCAAACTGATATCACTTTTCAAAATTGATAGAATATGCGATTTCCAAACTGAGATCAGCTTTATTTCTTTAATTATAAAAAGTGATCTCAATTAAGAATGAGCCGACCTTTTGAGTGATTTCGATTATTATATTCGTTATTTTAATAATAAATATAAAGAGCAAGATTATTATTTTCGATATTTATTCAATTCTCACATCAATTGTATTCCTTTTGGTTATTCAATACCACCCAGTCGACTTGTTTCTTGTTTGAATCTGTGTATTTGCCTCTTTTCTAATTTTTGTTGATACCATCCCAATTGGCTGCAGCCTGTTGGTCGGTGGTACCTCTCGTGTTAACCAGTTTCTTAAATTGAAGCTAATCGTAAATCACCACCAGAGAAGCTCATTGCCTTTCACTCGGGAATAGCTGCCAAGGAGAATCTTCTGCTAGACAGTCCGCTTAGGCTCACGAAGAGAACTTTCGGAAATTCTGCTTGTTATTGTGTTGGTGGATTAACAATAACACCGGCTGGTGTACCACTGTTAAGATTCGTCTTTTTCTGAAGTGTATGATCACCGTTTATTTACAAACAAAACAGTTTTTTTTTCTAAGAAGAAAACTGATGTATGAATTTTTCGAAATAATGGTTCTTTTCTGTATATGTTGTATAAAACATGAATATTTTGAAAAATTCATATTTTTCGAAGATGCAATGTCTAAAACTTAGGAAAATTTTAATACAAGTTAGTGTAACTGATACCGTCATTTGTGTAAAGTTTCAGAACGAAATTCGAAAATATGATTTTGCTGGAAAACTGCGGTCCTGCCAGAAAAATTCAATATCGCAGCAAGAAGAAGCCAGCGGCACGAACGCGCCTAGGCTCTTTCATAACTCATCAAGATGTACTTATGGGCAAAAGATAGGATCGAACGGCGTTGGACAATTGGTGAAAAACTGAAAAAGGTTATTTCCGACACAAAGATCCATTCAAATTTGAATAATAGGACGTGTTCAAATAATTCTGCTTATATCACTGGATTCCCTTTGGCCCATTGCACTGTCTCGTATCCGCAGCGGAAATGTCTCTTCTTAACATAGTATTAGGAAGGAATATTTTGGACCCTTACTAAGGAAGTGGTGCTCAAACAATTATATCCAAGGAAATTTAGCTGACAAAAATAAAGGTACTATGAGAACCGTGTTGCTTTACCTTTCTGGAAGAGGCTTCCAATATTCTATTTAAAGAATGCGTAAGAGTATTGTGTAATTCCTCCCCTGAATTTCTCTGAAAGAGAAAGAACAAGGAGTGAACGTTTGTACAGGGAGATTATGCTGGAAATCTGAAAATTTTATTTTTCACCAACGGTTAAGTCGACCAACTTTAACAGTCAATTTCAAACTTGAGAGGCACTAGTGGTTTCCTATACAGTATATTTATAGGAATACTGAACTACTTCAAAGTAATATATTCATCCCAGATTTAATACACGAGCTTCTAAGAGTAATAGTAAGAAAATGATGTTAATAGTAAATAATTTTCACTCTCATCTTCCTTTTTCTCACATGGTTAGGCATGCAACAGTTTTTTTCGTGTTTTTGCAAAAGATGGTTTGTATTTTCGCAACAACGAACTGTGAAATTTTATGAAATCAGCAGTTTTGTAGAGCAAACATTTCTCTACAAGATGGCATATAATGGATACGCCAGAATAAATGTCCACTACGTATTTTCTATTTTTCTCGTGTTCCATTAGGACCCTAAGGTTAGTGTTTCTTTTAAAAGATGCGCCGCGAAATACTCTACAAGATCATAGTTAAACTTTAATTTCAAAACTTCAATCAAGAAAACTACGCAAATTATACGAAAGATGAAAAAAGTGAAAATTTTTCAAACTCAAACAACAACCAATCTGAACTAGCTTAGATCACAAAAGTGATGAGAAACATAAAAGCATTGATGGCAAAAAACATGTGGTGATTATTTAAAAACCAAACACCAGACCGATATTTGTTGGTTGTGTTCAAATAAAATTGTTATGTTAATATTTTTTTATTACAAAAATTAAAAATGATACAATATAATAAAATTCGAGTAAAACAAAATTAAGAAAAGTTCTGTCATGATCTGACATGGAAAATACTGATCGAAAAGTAGAGAGAAGTTATGGAATTGAGCAAATCATTTTCATCACGCAGCAGTGTATTAACGCTGCCAAGTAAAGACTTTGCCACCGATACTTGTCCCTGAGTATTATTTTGAGTAAGCACCTTATTAAGGCCTTTAGAATCAAAAATTTATAAACAAAATCATAATTAATTATATTACTGAAGAATTTAAATAAAGAAGAAATCACTGAGATGTAAATATTAGAATGACTAGTTTTCACACAGAAAATATCTTTTATCAGAATTATACCTCAAAACAACTCAATCTATGATTTAAAAATGACTTGAAAAATAATCAATTTATCACGATGTCTTCTCTTAAACATCAACTTTTTCTTCTTCAGCTAATCGGACTGTCGGTTTTCGAAATGTTTGCATTTCTGTTTCTTTAAAATAGTGTAAATTATTGATAGACGAATGTTGTTGTAATGGCGATGGACGTTCATTTGTGGTACTCGCCGTTGACATTGATGATGATACACTTGGTATACCTATTATATGGTACTTTGAATGTGTCGTATTTACAGTCAAATCGAGACGGTTACTTGTATGATACTTATTAAAGTCTCGCCCAATTAATAAACCTTTTGTATGGTGAATTTGATGTTCTGGTTGTTGTTGCTGTAGAGGTAATGAAGAATCAACATCTATCGATTCATAACCGCTGTCTCTAGGTTTACATGTGGCTAAAAACAGAGATAAATTACAAAAATGGTTTTAAATAACTGAGAGTTATGGATCTTACTTGATGCTAAAATTCCATTTTCCAATATATTTTTCATTGAAAAATAAGGTAATGGATAACTATTACGTATTCTAATACTTCTATCTCCAAAACATGGTCGTAACAATGTTTCACCAGCATTGACATTCTAAAAGAATAGAAAATCAGACTCTTTCTACACTTAAATGGCATAAACTATCCTCAACTTACAGATGATAAAGTATGTTTTGTTCTTTCGTTTGTAGAATCAGATTCAAACGATGTATCATCTCCACTCACAAGCATTTGTCTTTCATGTAATAATGAATCATCTTTTTTCCCGGTATTATTACTACTACCACCAGTACCACCATCACTACTGCCATCATCTCCCATATAAATATCGTACAATCGCTGTTGTTGTTGTTGTTGTTGATATTCAATTGTTTTTCGTTTACAATTGTATCGTCTACTTTGTACATTGGAAATAATTGTACGTAAACATATTGCCATCAATATTGTGCTAAATGAGATTACAATGATGAAACATAGAAAAGCAATTATATAATAATAGTATCGACGAATTGTTGTGGATGATGTAGATAATGTTCGTTTTTGTTGTTGAATTTTTAAAAGTTCTTGTTTACCCAATAATAAAGCAACAGTTTTATTTGTACGATTAGTACCACAAATAATCATTATTTTTACTGTTAAATCACATCGTTCGATTTGAGTATCATGACCATCGAATACATTAATCTCAATTAAATATAGACCTTCGACTAATTTAGATTTATCAATTGTATGAATACTATATTGATTATGAGATAGTTGTATTAATTGAACAGGAGATTGTTGTGAATTTAATATTTTTAATATTGCAGTATCATTATCAGCATCTTCAATTTGAATTTGACCTAATTGTTCACTATTATTACCATTAATTGCAGAATTATCCCTATTAATATAGAATACATCGGATGTTAGGTGAATTTTTGGACAATTATCGTTCACATTCTTGATATCAATTTGAACTGGTACAGTATTGGTTAATTGTCTATTATCTCTTACATGAACGAAAAAATTATATTGTTGAATTTGTTCAAAATCTAGTGTACCAACGAGTATAAGTGTTCCATGTTCATCAATACTAAACGGAAGATATGTTATATTCGATTGAATTGAATAATGTAATTGTTCATAATAATCATGATTAATATATGCACGTATTTGTCCAATTATTAAAGGTACTTGACTATTTTCAGTTAAATGATATTTATAATAATTTTTTTCAAAAATAGGTTGATGCTCATTAGAATTTTGAATTGATATTATACATTGTTTTGTTTTATTCAATCGAATAGGTGTACCATTGTCTTGTGCCATTATTTCTATTTCATAATTTCTTGTTATTGTATAATCCAATGTATTATTTGCGTATACCTCACCATTGAATGTAATATAGAAATATTTATCATTAGGTGGTATTATTTTATAGGTAATACGACTATTTTCATTAATATCAATATCGTATGCATTGACAATGAATAATGGACCTACAAATATAAAAAGAATATCATAGTTATCGTGGTAACACAAGAGATTTCAATACTTACCATATGTTTTATTTTCTAATAATTGAATATTACAATTTGTTTCATTAAATATTGGTTCATTATCATTTTCATCCGTAATTCTAATATCATATTCCATTTGAATTGTTTTTTTTGGTACACCTTTATCATTGACAAATAAAATTAATTTATGATAATCTTGTTTTTCTCGGTCAATTAACACATTATTACGAATCAAAAGTAGAAATGATTGATTATCAATAGTTTTTGTTTGTAACAGATCACTTTCAATATGCCATTCTAATCGACCATTTTCATTTGAATCCAAATCGTTTACAGCTACATGTGCAATAATTTGTCGTGATTGAATATTTTCTGGAATATAAATTGTTGATTGATTTTGATATAATCCATACTCTGGTTGTTCAACGAATGTAATGTAAACACTGGGAGCATTGTCATTTCTAGTATTAAAATTGAGTCTTTTTTTATGAAAAAAATTTGTCAACATTGTATAAATAATTCTTACCGATCTGTTATATTTAATTCGATGGTGCAAAATACAGGCATTGAACTTTCACCAAGATCTTTAACTTGAATAGTTAAACGAAAATATTGTTCAGATTCATAATCAAGTGGACTAACAAGAGTCAAACTACAAAAGAAAATTGAATGTATGTTTTATTATTAAACTAGTGTCTTGAAAAACTCTTACACTCCTGTAATTTCATTAATTCGAAAATAATCAATCCATACAGTTGGAATACCATTGGTTATTGAGTAATGAATCTATATAATGAAAGAATTATTAAAGTTCTATTCTAGTTTAGCCTACGGTTATGATTTATTCATTTTATTTTATTTTTTAAATATTTACCTTTCCATTGAGACCAATATCAGCATCAGTGGCAATCACTCTTGTTAATTCTGTTCCAATTTGAGTGTCTTCACTAACATTTAAGTTAATCCATTGACGTTCTAATACAGCTGTATTGTCATTAATGTCCTATAAACAATGTAAACAAACAATTGAAAAATAAAACAAATTTTAAGAACATAATTTCTTACATTAATGACAATATGAAGAATAGTTGAACTTTGTTTTCTTGGATGACCGTAATCGTAAGCTGTTAGACGATATAGATATGTATCTACTAATTCTCTATCTAATTGTCCAATGACTCGTAATGCTATGGTGTTACTTTGTTCAACATGATGTAATTCAAATGGTAATGATAATGATTTATTCAATGATATTAATTCATAACCAATTCTACTATTATCATTTAAATCTGGATCACTAGCTGATTCTAATTGTAATAAAAAATTTATTGGTACATTTTCCATTATATTTAATTCGTATACATCTCGATTAAACATTGGCTCATTGTCGTTAATATCATTAATAATCAATATCAATTTTAAAACGGCATAGGTTGTGATTGATTGTTGCCATTCAATTATTTCTATCTTTAATTGACATTTTGTACAATCGCATATATGCTCAATACATAAGAGTTCACGATCAATTGAACGTTGCAATATTAAACGACCCGTTTCAGAATCAAATTTAACAAATGAATTATGATTACGATTTGTATCAAATAAACGATAGGTAGATGAATCTGTGGGCGAATATGTAAATAATACCGTATTTAATGGTAATTCTTCATCGACATGGATTGTGATTACACGGGACGAATCAGAAGAAACAAGAGAAAAAAAGAAAAAGTGAAAAAGAAGGACGAAAATCGACAATATAATTGTTTTCATCTAAAAAGTAAAATCGAAATTATTCAGATTGATGCTAAATGATAATAAAATATCTGTATAAAACTTTGCTACTAAATGAACTCACTCACTGTTGAATATAGCATGGTAAGACAAGACGAGTCGTCATTTTAGAAAGTGTGTTCAGTCTCTTATTATTCACCTATTTGTTGGAAAACGGAAGTAATTTTATTTTTAATATTTTTTGACTATGTAGTCTGTACATCTGCATGGCAGAAGGAGAAAATTGATGAACTTCTTGATTATAGTTAAAGTAAATGATAATAAAAATACTGAAAAAAACCATGAATGGTTGGTTGTTTCACCTGTTCGTTTCTTCCTCTTCTCTATATACTTAAACTCTCTCTCTCTCTCTAGATATCTTTCTTTACACTTCTGATGAGAAAATATGTCTCATAATTTCTCTATAATAGAATGGATAACATAAAATCAGCATTTACACTGTACACTCTTAACACTAGAGTATGTGATAATTACATACTTCTTTCATCCACACTCATTGAAAATTTCAATAGGCAATTGAAAAATGATTAATTGTAATAGAAATAACACAAAGAACAAGTAAATATTTTGTACCAACGAATATTAAGAACAATATGTATGTAGTAAAAATTTCATCGTTCACAATAAATTATCCTGTGTATAAATTCGTTAGACTAACACTTACACTTTCTGCGCATTATAAAAGGTAATCTAATCTAATCAATTTATATCCATTTTACCGACATTTTTTTAATGTTTTTTTGCTAAAATCCGGTAATCAGTCTAAATAAATCTATCCTATAACTGACGTGTCGACCAGAAATGGATTGGATCTTCTTCTCATTGAACAGCGTCAGTCAACAGTATTTTACAAAATCGGATAGACAAGAGGAAAAATAGCGCAGCTACGTTGGACAGACTAAGCATAACTACTGGAACAAAGATATTTTACTTATTCTTCGAAGAAATACTAACTGGTGGTCCAGATAAAACCGACCACTTTTGCTCTTTGTTTTTGAGGCACTTCCCAGTGATCCAAAGAGTTGGTTCTAGGCTCATTCGATAGATTCGACTTGATCCAAAAATAGGTTTCATAAGGATTTTGAAAATATCAGAAGACTCACCGGAAAATTCTGCATCTTCTCACATATTTTTCGAAATTTTGCAGTTAAATCTTCTAGGAAAATTCCTCTATGCAAAAAACTGATAAACCTAAAAAAACCTAACTTTTGAACCTATTTTTCACAAACTTTAGTTTTCTAACTATTAAAGTAGTAAAACGTTCTGAATTCAAGTTTAAGTCTTATTACCTTACACAGAATTAAATTCTGCATCTTTTGATATATAAACAAAGTTTCTCAATGGAAACCACTAATTAACAGATTTAATTTAATTTAAAAGAATTGAAAAGCCAGTTAAGAATTAATTATGAGTCCAGCTGACCTAGCGGAAACATTGTACGAAGTTGTGAATGAGTGAGATCGATAGAGCATAAAATTCTCTAACTTTGTACGTAGAAAAATTAACTGTTGAACCTCAGGCAATGGGCTAAAAATCAAAAAAAGGAGACGACGGAAGCACGTCACAGTTCGACAACTCAGCATGATTCAATATTTTGAATGGTGCTCAAACGAGAAAAATGCTATCAGAGATTTAAATAGTAGGTTTGTAGAGAATTCCATTCTCTGTCGAATGAGCCTAGAACAAACTCTTTGGACCAGTGGGAAGTGCCTCAAAAACAAAGAACAAAAGTGACCGGTTGTATCTGAGCGACCCGTTATTGTCAAATCACCTTACTTCTCTTAGAGTAGCCTTCGAAAATACAAAAATTTAATGATCAATATATTTTCCGTAAAAAAAGAAAATTATTTATGGATCGGATGGTCATGTTGCGCTCATTTCTGATGCCATCTATGCAAAAGTAACTTTCTTCTGTATTAACTATTAGATTGCACAAAACAAAAGATTTTTTCTAACTTTCTACATTTGTAAGTAAAATATTAAGGTCAGATTGCATGACTTTAGAGAATATTAAACGACTCTATAGCCATTGTTCTCAGAAAGACACTGCACGCAAAATTATCTCACCATATATACGTGTCATCGATTACGACATTGTTAACGTTTTAATACTCGTGTCCATAAGAGCAAGTGTGAATGTTCACACTCTTCTTATTCTCTCTCAACTACACGTGATTAAACATAATGACAATAAATATAAAATGACTATAAAAGTTGTATGTTCAAGCTTCTCTATATATTAATAGAGAGAATGGTCAATATTTTATTTCAATTTTTTTTCCTTCTTTCTTAGTAATGGATCTATTTCAAGGAATGAGAAAAAACCAGTCGCTCTGATGATGATCATGTTCTTCTAATCACTCCCAACATCCTAATTATCATCATACAAGTTTAACAAACCGATGACGAATTGACCGTCTGTTAGCAAGAAAAAAAAACAGAAGGAAAATCTTCATCAAAAAGATTTATTAATATCTGTTAGCCAAAGGCTAGTTTAGATTGTTCTGACTTTGTTGTATTACATTGAAAAACATATTTATAGATTAAATTAAAACAATTTATAATAGATAGAGATGTTTTGTTTGCAGTATAAAGATAGACGAAAGCATAACACATGGTTTATTATGGCTGTCAGAGTAAATTATGAATTTAGTAGAGAAAAAAAATCTAATAAAATCTATTTCTAACAAATGATTGAGACAAATGAATTTTGAACATTCAGTAGTGTAACTAGATCGTATTTCAAAAAACCTGTGAGCGCATCCTTTTGCGACGTAATTTTTCTATTCATTGTAAATATATGTAAAATCATAGTTTTTTTCTAATCTAAGACAGTGATAGTTTTGGACTTAAACTACTATTAAATGGCTTCTTTTTCTTCTTTCCATATATGTGCAACATGTTTAAAATTAAATATCAAAATTATAAACGTTTTCTTTCCTTATCCTTTAGCACTTTTTTTCTTCTTCTCTTTATACATGAACATAAAAATTGTACGACTCTTTGTAATTGAACATAAAGATTGCTATATAACTAACTACTGCTGTTACAAGATAGAGAAAAAGAAGGTAGGCCATGTATGGAGATACATGTATTGTGTTACGGAGCGGATGTAAAAAACTATAGCGTATAAGAAATATGAAAAGTTTTGAACTATTCATTAAGCTTATAGATATACGTATGTGTGTGTGTGTGTGTGTGTGTGTGTACGTGTGTGTGTATTGTTGTAAACAGAGATATTATTGTTCAAGTGTTATGCTTACTTATTGAATTGTCTAATGATAAGCGTGTGTGCGATATAGTCTCAATTACTCAGTATACGTTTTAAAAACCTCTATCTTGAGTTAATTGTGGTGATGAACGTATGTTATATCTGAACAATGAATAGAAAAAATTTAAGAGAAACGGATACATCTTCATACACACAAGAACACAGTTGTTGCTGCCGCTACCGCAATTAGATACAGAATGATCAATTATCAATTCTGGATGGACATTAATAAAACTTGTTGACTTTTGTTGTTGAAAAGACGTTCAATTTATTATCCGTAGCTTGATACAAGAAGAAGGATTTTAACAATTGAACTGTAACAGATTTTAAATTTACAAACATAACTCAAAGAACATCGTTTTAAATATGTGTAGATATAACCATAAAGCGAATCTTAGAAATAAGGAAAAGGAGAAGACAAAAAAAAAAGAAGCACAGCACTAACAGAAAATCACATACAGAATCAGATGAGACCGTAGGAATATATACTTATGAATACAATAGACATTAAAACAAACATTTAAACAATAACGTATGACCAAACATCATGATCGTTACAATTCTCGAAATTTTAAGTAATGGAAACTGGAAAACAATAAACTCAGTCTTATAAGCTCTCGATGTTGTAATAGTCACTAAATCGTTAACGAAAACTCTATACAGATATATGTCAAGCTTGTTTTGTCCTATCTTTTATGTTCCACTCACCAGGTGGAAAATTCGGCTCTTTAGCTACTCGTTGAAAGAATTACCATGACACTTACGAGGGAACTTTTTTAAGTGATACGCTCCGATCTGGTTCGTTCGCACATCATTCGATAGAGAGTAGTAGGGTAGTAAAAAGCCTAAAATATTAGCGGCTCCTTTGGTTTCTTTCAAAAGTTATAGGGATTTTTCTATCATTCCCAGCCAAAATCGCGAGTCAATTAAAAATTCATAACTCTAGCAAATGAACTTCTGCGGACCTGAAAATTTACAGCATAAATAGCCCACAATACCAGCTAAACAGTACCAAAATTTCAAATTGCTGTGACGTATACTTCCCAAATTACGAGTTTACCTTTTTATCCGTTAAAAAATAGGCTTTTCTGAGTTAACATTTCCTCGTTTTGTGTCTTTTAGATGACTTGTTAGCCTTATTTTTCTTAGACCTTATGTTCAATGGTTCTCACGTTGTACTCACGAAGATACGACATATAATTTAGGAAAAACCACTGTAGGTACGAAGTTTTCAGACGTTATTCAGACGGTTAGTTTTTCCTTGTAACTCATGTGCGTCTGTTTTCTTCAGACACTGTATCGAAAATGATTAATTCACACAACGTCTCCCGTCTTATTTCCAATTATATTTCGTGGGAAGTACACGTCACAGCAATTTGAAATTTTGGTACTGTTTAGCTGGCATTGTGGGCTATTTATGCTGTAAATTTTCAGGTCCGCAGAAGTTCATTTGCTAGAGTTATGAATTTTTAATTGACTCGCGATTTTGGCTGGGAATGATAGAAAAATCCCTATAACTTTTGAAAGAAGCCAAAGGAGCCGCTAATATTTTAGGCTTTTTACTAACCTACTACCCTCTATCGAATGATGTGCGAACGCACCGAATCGGAGCGTATCACTTAAAAAAGTTCTCTCGTTAGTGTAACTTATCGACAAAAGTTCGAGAATAAAGTTGGAAATGTGGTATATTCCTGTGGGTTTTTCAGATTTTAATTTTTTAATGAACATTCCGTGTTTGACTATCAGAGACTTTACATTTCTCTATTTGTTCTAATATCCGTTTAAAAATCTGAATTTGGATGTACAAAACACATTCGTCTTGGACAAATTAAAAATGCTCTTCACATATAAAAATCTGTTCCCTTCTAGCCATTTTAAAAAAATAAAAGTTTACCGTGTCTATTAGACTCGTTACCAGCCTTCTCTTTCAACACCATATTAAAATCTGGTATTATTATAGTATTTTTTATGTTATATGGACTAAGGATATCAATGACTCATTTTTATTCCTAGAGCTAATAAATACCTGTTACTCTTAACTCCATCGTCTAGTCTCACGCGATATCTATGACCATAGTATCCTCTCTTCATTTAGATATTTAACTAACATTAAACACATTCTCTATTACTCTTGTTGGTACCTTCTTGATAGAAAAAAAATGTTGATCAGTCGTATAAAAATATTTCTACTTACCAATCTCAATACAAAAACAAAAAAATGAATTG